GTAAAGCATAATATGCTAATTATATGCTAAGGCCATTCAACCACTTGCTATGATGTGCACTGACCACCAGGGGGAAGACGCTCTAATTTGTAGGTTAGCTTGCTGCTGGGGTCTGGCAGATTGGGACTGAGCGAGACAGGCCAAACATGCCCTGGAGCCCTCCCACAGTCCCTCTGTGGCCCCGATTTATTGTGCACCTGAGGGCTCCCTCTGCCTAGCCTACAGGGATCAGGATGAAACCAAGCTCTCCAACATCCCCCGAGGGGTCCCGAATTGCAAGAGGGCAGGAGCCCTCCCACGGTCCCTCCCTGGCCCCGATTTATCGTGCACCGGTGGGCTCCCTCTGCCTGGCCTACAGGGATCAGGATGAAACCAGCTCTCCGACATCCCCCGAGGGATCCCGGATTGCAAGAGGGCACAGGCCAAGTCGATGGAACCCAATGGTGCACCAATCCATACACTGGGCCTCTAGAATGTGTATAAAATCATCGCATTTGCCAGTGTGGCTCAGTGTTTAAGCAATGACCTATGAACCAGGAGGTCATCACATTGATTCCTGATGATGGCTCATGTCTGGGTTGTGGGCTCAATTCCCCTATAGGCAGCCGATCCATGTTTCTCTGTCATTGATGATTCTATCTCTCAATCCCTTTCTTCTCTCTAAAAATAAATAAAACACTTAAAAAATAATAAAGAGATAAAGTCACATTTCACACATTAAATATACACAATTATATTTATCAAAAAAGACGTCCATTTTTTCAACCTCATATAGTTATTTTAAATGCAAGATTTTATTTTTTGGTATGTATTGTGAAAGTAAATTGATGCTTTCCAGCCAAGTAATAATAGCTGTTCAAACATTACATATTTCAAATATAGTAATAGGCATTGTACATTTAGCCACAGAAAGGCTGCCTAGAGTAACTATGTATCTATTTATCTGCCTTCCTTCCTTCCTGTCTGTCTATCCACATGCACATTTGACTGGACTTACAGCAATTTAATATTAGCAGTGGTTACTTGAATCAGTGAGAAAATTTTCAGTCTCTTAACAATTTTTTAAAAGGCGTGGACTCGATGTGTGGCTTCTGGCTAATAGTGTTTGAATATGTCACTGCACAAGTGAGAATCCCTGTTAGAACCTGGTAGGAGTTGCCCTTCTCAGGAAGGGTATGTTTCCTCTCTCAGTGTGGCTTCGCCTCCGGAATTCCTGGTTCACATGCAGGATGGAGCTCTAAAGCTTTTAGAGGCCTCTCTCTTACAGGCTTTCTGCAGGCTCTCAGCTCCTGGAGGGGTTCAATAGGGACTGTCTTTGCTCCTTCAATTTGTCCTAGTGTGCAGTGTCCTTTTGGCACTGCTGCTGGTAGCACAACATGCTTTCTGTCAGCTGGATCCCCAGAGCAATGGCAGGAATGTAAATCAACACTAGGTTCTCTGGGTCTATAAAGGAGGAATAATGAAGACATCCTTTATGGAGACAGAGAGGGAGAGGGAGAAGACTGGACTCTAAATAGTACAAGAACTTAGATAAGTATCCAATTCCTGTAATATTCAATATGATATTAAACAATCAAATGTGAAACTTATAGGAAGAAGCATCTGGAATGGTGCTGGTATGATAAACTATTAAGTTGTTTACTCGTGTGTTTAAAAATTTTTATAGTATGGTTTACTACATGCCAGGAGCCCTTCTACGTAGCTGAGTTCGTGATAAACAGAATAGGTAATGTTCCTGCCCACTTGTATTCTAGTGGGGGAGACAAACAATAAACATGAACAAACTCTGGTGACAAAAGGTAGCGATAACGTACTGTGAAGAGTAATAACAATATTGGCCACTAGATGGAACCCATTGCTTTCTTCATTTCCTTACCAATCAACTCTGAGACACTGTGAGCATGACACACTGTTAATTAAATAGTTTTTTTGGGGCCAGGTGATAGGCACTGTCTCTCTTTCTATCTCTCCCTCCCAAATTGGATTTCTTTTTTCCACTAATTGACTGATAAGGGAAATAAGGTTAAGACATACTAAGGAGCCATTTGGGGTAGAGAGATTAGAGAACCTCCTTCTTAAATCAGAAATCCTCTCCTTTCAATTTCTTGGGCATTTACTTTTCTGTGTTATTTAATCTCTCTCTTCGCCACTAGACTATGAGCTCCTTAAGAGAAGGCTGGTGAGGGTTGGGGGGCAGCGGGGGCGGGGTGGTGGTGGTTGGGGGCTGGTAAGAGATCAACCGAAGGACTTATATGCATGTATATAAGCATAACCAATGGTCACAAGACACTGGCGGGTAGGGGAGGCTGGGGGAATGTCAAAGGGGAGAAAAGGAGACATATGCAATGCTCTTTGTAATACTTTAAGCATTCCTAACTATAAAGAGTAAATATGCAAATTGACCGTCACTCCAACACAAGATGGCTGCCCCCATGTGGACACAAGATGGCCAGCAGGGGAGGGCAGTTGGGAGAGATCAGGCCAGCAGGGGGAGG